CTGCTTATCTCTCTGGATGAAATAATGGATCAGTTTTGGTGTCTTTGTCACAGGGTTAAAGGAAGTGCAGTAAAGTAAACTGTACAGGTGATGAAGACTAAACTCACTAGGATTGCATGAAACGTACTGATACTGCTTACAGCAAGGGTAGGCAACTCCAGGGCTCGAGTGTCGGTGTCCTGCAGGTTTTAGATGTGTTCTTGATCCAACACAGCTGATTCAAATGGCTAAATTACCTCCCCAACATATCTTGAAGTTCTCCAGAGGCCTGGGAATGAACTAACCACTTGATTCAGGTGTGTTGACACAGGGAGATATCTAAAACCTGCAGGACACCGGCACTCGAGACCTAGAGTTGCCTACCTCTGGCTTACAGGATCATTAGAATCGTGTAACTTTGTTTACTTAAAACCTGTTTTTGTACTTCAATCAAAATGAAGTAGCAATATTATGTATAGGCTGTAATGTTGTCATGTTTGGTGTATTTATAATAGGCTGTATAAGCGAATCTCTCAGACCAAAAGTTTCCAGAGAATTTTTGTTTTACCTACCATCTACCCATGAGCAATGGTGGTTTGTTTTGCATGTTTTATGCTTGATCTACCATATCAACATTCAATGACAGGTCTACCGTCAAGCCTCTCAGCATGACGGGCAAATCTGTCAGATCCACCTGCCTCTCTCCTGTCCTATATGATGATTTACTATCTCTGCTCCCAGAGGCAGATATTTTTTTCGCTTTCTTGTTTGAGTCTTGACCCCCCTCGTGGACCTTTCCAGGTCCCCCGGCTGAGGCACCGTGTTATTTACTGCCCAGAGAGCTCTGTGTGCAGAGAATCGGTATAGCATGGCTGGTTCAGCAAGGGAGCAACTAGCTGCTCGCTCGCTCTCACACATATTCACAGATGCACACAAACACAAACGGTCACATGACCATCCTAGCGGGAATAAGATGTTTACCGCAGTATAATGACTACACATTGAGTGTCTGTCCATGCGTCTCAAGCCTACAAACAGACACAGATTGTTCATTACCTCAGCAACAGTAACCTGCCACTGGTGTCAAACAGCGACAGGAAATACGACGCTATTGGTTTGACAATGTCACAAGAACTTTGTCCTGATAAGACATGAAAACATTGACTCAGATGAACTTTATAGCCAGCTGGGCTTACTTGGGAACATATCCTAAGGTGGACCAAGTCTGCGTAGTTCTGAGAGTAGATGGCTTTAGGTAACCTCTGACCTGAACATGTTACATGAATGAAGGGAGATTGTGGCTATTTGTGTCACTCGGTGACCTCGAATTATTTCAACAGCTTCCCCTGAAAGGGATAACTGAGGACAAAAGTAAGCACAATTCAGAAAAGTTGGCATAAAAAACAAGAAAGCCTCACTGCCTCAGGGAAATGTCTCTCCAACTTCAAGGATCAAAAGACTTCAACACTTGTTTATAATCAGTCCACAAATTTCTGTACAGCTTTACAACTCACACATAAAAAGTAAAAAGCCAGGTGCTCTTGAAAAGAGAGGTTTCTAAAAAATCTCAAAACAGAGCCACAGTGAAATTCCTTTTTTAAATCCTCCCTTCCTCTCAGTAATTATAACCTTTCTGCTGACAAACTACAGGTCTGCTGTGTTTGTCTTTGCCTCTTCAGATAAAACAGGCGAAGAAAAGGCCTGTGTGTGTGTGTTGGGCTGGATGCCAGTCTCTCACTGGTTCTTCTAGCAAAGTACATACTATCCTACCTGATACAGCAAGAACACTAAAGAAAGGAGACACTGAAACAGAGCCGTCCCAATTTTTTTTTTTTTTTTTTTTTTTTAAATAAACACGCCATCGAGAAAATTTCATAAGTGAGAACTTGTAAGACTCTACAGCATCCTACAAGACTCTGTTCTCCTTTATGAAACCCTGTGGGAAAACGTCTGCCATAGTAAACTCGGTGAGGATGATTTATTTAAAGGAGTACAAATGATTTGATAAATTGAAAACTGGGTTGACTTTGGATTGGAAAGAGGGGTGTGAGGGAGGATAAGGGAGCAAGATGTGAGGGATGTGAATGTGATGCAAGAAGTACTGGATCAATCTTTTATCACTGCAGTGTGCTTTCATCCCTAATGGATCCGACATGAGCAAGGCACAGCATTACCTTCCGTCACATTGCACAGGCAGGGGGAAGGACGCACGGAAAAGTACAGGGGAGCAAGTGAGGTAAGCACAGCAACACACGAGAAAGAAAGACAGTTTTATCGGAAAAGACGAGAAAGTGGCTCAAACCACCCGCCTGAAAATAATCACAGCCTCAAACATGCAAAAATATTATTTCGCCAACATGTGGCCGTAGAGTTTCCAATTACATCTGCACCTGAGTGCGCTGGCAGGCGTACGGAAATGCTACTGATAAGGACTGTGAGAAATTCAGACGCTTCACAGCATGAAGGATGACTTCGAAAGTTCCCATCAAGAATCCCAAGAGACATCTTGCTGTGCATGGGCAGGTTTGCCTTCCTTGCCATGTGAGCCGAGTGACAGACAGACACACTGACAGAGACGGAGAGAGACAGACGGACTATTCTAGAAGAGGAGTCCATCTGTGTATTCGAGCAGGAAAAGAGCATTAAAAATAACACTGCATAGAACAAGGCACAACCACTCTCACAAGACACTCTACTGTCTCAATGCTAAAAAGGCTCATTCATGTGACAGAAAATAAGAAATATCTAAGCACTTGATGGAGACTTGAGGGGTAGCAGAGAGAAAATAAGGCTGAAAAGTTGAACGTTTTATGATGCATTCCTAGGAATAGGGAGTATACCGCCTTTTAAATCACATTATCTCATTTGAAAATATTTCAAAGGATGAGATAATACCATTTATACAGTTCATAACAGAGTTCCTACCACCGGGCCATGCAGCAGTGAAAGTTTTAAACGTTAGCATTAATATTTTCTTAAACCTGCCGCTCAGCCGGCTTTACCTTGGTGATGATAAACTTTATACTCTTCCCTTTGGCTATTGTTGCATATTAATAAAAAATTGCTGCAGAAATATAGCCGTTGAAGTTGAAAACATCGAGGCAAGTGCTATGACTTAATATGGTTTCAAACCTTCAGTAGATATGAATTCACATATGTTCATAGTACAATAGTTATTTATTCATAGTTTACGTAAACAGAAGCCACAGTTTGGTGCCAAAACTTTCTTTTGTATCTGCAACCAAAGCCCCGCTCCACTTGCTCACAACTTCTTTTTATTGTTGGGAACTTAGCGACTTTGTACCCCCTGTAGTGACATAAAAAATGACATAAATAAACGCACCTGGCAACAATTCTAATGATGTTTTGAACCAACCTTGATCGTTTCCTTTATAATCGCTTGATTTTTTGCACCAAACAAATGAGCTGTGCGTGTCCACCAACTTCCTCTTTTTTTAAATGGGACAGCTTACATTTTTTCTGTACACACAACAAAAGTCATAATGCAGCTCTACTTTCAAACTATTTGTATGCGTTATTTTTAAGTGATATCGCATATATAGAAGCACAATTTTAGCCATGAAGAGCAGCTGCTTGGAAATGGCTTTGAAGTGACTCCAGTAATCCAATCTGATTTAATATAATAACGTAATAACGCAGTCTTAATGGGCTGCATTTCAGTCACTATTACTTAACAAGAAAATAAAATAAAATCATGTATGTGAGACAAACTTTTCCTGGAAATTTAGGTGGAAAAAAATAAAATGTTTTTATAGCAGCTGTGAAAGGACAGACACTAGGCCGAGGCAAATATGATGTGATTACATCATGGATATGCTAAGTGGCACATGGCATTATTCAAGCAGGCTTTAGTCACTTTCTACT